TCCTCCACCCACACCTTGGGCCCTGACAGCAGGGGGAGACCACGGGGTGGGGGGGAGAGGGGGGCAGGGTGAGGGCTGCTGAAGGTCATGGCCACCCAATGCAGTCAGGCCACATGGGTCCTGCTCTTGGTCTGTCCCAAACTTGCTATGGGGTCTAAAGCAACTCGCTTCCTCTCTCCCGGCCTGTTTTCCTCAGTAAAATGAAAAGATCACTCTAGAGGTGCCTTTAAGGACCCTTCTAATTCTCAGTCTATGGATCTTGAGTTCCTAGAAAAATAGAGACGGGGGTAGGAAAAGATTGGCTAATCCTTAAGTAGTTGCTATAGTGTTTATGCTAATGTGCCAGGCATTGCTGTAAACTCTTCCTGTATATTCATCCCTTTCAGGGTCTCGGCAACTCTCCAGTATCACCCACTTTACAGATAAGGCAATGGAGGCCGCATGGAAGTTAGTGCTTAAGTCACTCAATTTATAAATACCAGAGTTGGGATTTGAATCCACGCAGCCTGGTACACGGTCCACACTCTTAAACCTAAACTATAGGAAAATATAAAGAATCACAGGCCAAGCTATGATAATGGGGTCCATCCTTGGAGAAGGCAAGGACTTCCCACTCACCTCCCCCACCCCAAGTCCTTTCCTTCCTGATTAGTCAACATCCCCCAGCCCTGACACTCTTTTGTACCCAACTGGAAATCCTTACCCCATTGTCAAGGCAACAGGCTGATGCTTTCCAGAGGGTCAGTGCCTCCGTGATCATCCCAGGCCCCTCTGCAAATCCAAGGCCTCAGCAAATCTGACCACTGCTGGCTACACACCCAATTCATGCCCTGATCCAGGGGCCCCCACCTCAGATCCTGGCTCACAAGACACAGCTTTCCCTGAGCACTCACTCTGTGCCCAGGCCCAAGACCAGCACTTGGAAGAGGATATGAACGAGCCACGCCCCTGACCTCCAGGAGCCCACAGTCCAGCAAGGAAAAACAGTGGTGTAAACGGATCTCTAGGATACTCTGTGGTCAGTGCTCAAATTAGAGGTGTGTCCCCAGTGGGCTGAGGGCACATGTGTCAGAGTGATTCACGCTGCATGGTAGGAAGAGGAGGCCCCAATGCCCCTGGGTGAGACCTACCGGAAGGAGCCCTGAACTGGGGCCGAGGAGGCACCCTGAAACATGCCCTGAGCCCCACAGTCCCCCTCTGAAAACGAGATGGCCCCCAAGTGTGGGACAGGAGGTCATGTGAGGAGTTCAAGGTCACATTTATACTGACTCATAGACTGAGAAACAATTTTCATTGCTCACTCTCCTTCCCATCCTTCCCATTGCATCTGGGCGCAAATCTGTTTGGTGCCAGTTTGTCTTTCAGCCTCTCAAACACTTGCCAGCCTGCCTTTCGAACACAGAACTCAGGTCCACAGCCTACATCACCCATCCAGCCAGGATTTAATCACGTTTTGTTTTCCCTGCACTATTTAGTGTTACAGTTGCATGCTCTCGTCCATGCTCAGTATCGGTTTCCCATTGGCAGTGGCGATATAAAGCCACCTTTTAAAAAATAATTTAAGATTAAAAAGTGAGTCAGTTTAAAGTAGTAGAGTAAATAATACTATAATTGGTATAAACTCTACGAAGGGCAGTTTAACAAACACCAAAATTCTAAACGCACATACAAAACCAGGCAAAGTGGTTCTATGCGATTAGACATTCCGACGGATTACCGCTGGAGGGAGGGGGTGGTGACCGGAAGCGGGTGCAAGGGGGGGCTTCTGGCCTCTGCTCTCCATTCTAGTGGTTGACCTGGGGGCTGATTATATATGTGTGTTCACTTTGTAAAAATCCATCAGGCTGCATCCGCTTATGATCAGTGCATGTCTGTATGTATATTATACATTCTCGTATCCTTTTAACCCACTGGTTCTCTTTCTAGAAATTACCCTGCAGATATACACACACATGTGCAAAATGACATGTTCAAAGCTCCTTGCTGCACTGCTGTTTGCAGTCACCAAAGATCAGAAACAACCCGAGTTCCCCAGCTGGAGACTGATTGAATGACTTTGGGCATAGCCTACAGTGAACTCTATGTAGCCATCAGACAGAATGAGGTGGCCACTACCAGAGCTCCAAAATTCACATGGACTTAAATGTAAGTGAAAAGGTAAGGGCAGAACTGTGTATCCTGTGCTCCCTTATATGAAAAAAAAAAAAAAGAATATGTAAAGCATGCACATGTCCGCGCCTAGGGCATCCTATGGCTAGGATGCTATCTTTGAAGTGAATGATAAGAAACTGATCATAGATGTCCCCTCCCCTCTGGACAGGGTGGGCGAGGGGAGGGGGGGAAGCTGGAGGCTTGTCACTGATGACTACTCTTTGGTACTTTAAAATTGTGTACAGTGTCCTTGCATTTCATATTGGATAATAAGACTGAAAGCAGAAAGTCCCTTACAGAAGGAGCATGACTATGGTAAAACTTATGGCCCCTTCTAGACCTAAGTCTGAGATGAAGGTCTTAGTATTTTGGGCTTATAAAGCACGTAACCCTTGGCCCCACTCCTCACTCCAAGGGATGGTACCAGAGATAATGGGCCTTCCTATAAGGGGTTTCCAATTAGCAGCAAAGCCTGTCTAGGACACATTATTTCCTCCCACTGGCCTTCACCCTGCAGTGAAAATCTGGCACCTAGAGCTGCCCTGGCAGAGCTGTCAGGTGGCTGAGTTCTTGGCATGGGTGGGGAGGTTTTTAAGCAGAAATACTTCCAGGGATGGGAAGTCAAGGATTTGGTAAGGCAAGCTCAGTTGGCTAGAAAGGAAAGATTCCAAGTTCTGAGTCCCACCCGGCCCCAAGAGAAGCAAAGCAAGGGCCATTGAGTGGTCTCCCTGCAGGACACAGGGGACAGCGACAGAACAAGGCCTTGACAATCGAGGTCAACTGTAACTGTATAACTCTCTTTTATACAGCACTGGTCTCACCCACATGTCACTATCTTCCCATATCACTAATCCTAAAAACAATCCATTGAGGTGTGGGGCAGGGTATCAGTTACCCATTTTACAGATGGGAAAATGGAGGTGCAAGGGGGTTAAGAGACTGGTCAGGGATTACACATGGAGAGAAGGATGAAGCCAGAAACATAGCCCCCACCTTCTGACTCCTGGTCTTCCCTTATCTTCTTACCTACCCTCCACCCCCAACAACCTTAGCCTTCCCTCTTTCAACTGTGACCTCCAGAGCGAAGAGCTCCTGCGGCCAGACAAGCAAGGGGCAGGCAAAGAATCCCAGAACCAAGGGCCTGTGAGACCATCAGGCCCAGCAGTTTACAACCCTGAATACAAACTAGAATCACCTAGGGAGCTTAAATAAGTTTAAACAAATATCTATGCCAGGGCCCAGGGATCTGTAGTGTTTTTTAAAGTCTCTGGTTGATACTGATGCAACTTTGGGAGAGAATCACCCCCACCCCAATCCCATATACAACCTTCTGCCTCCCTGAGGCCTCCACCATCCTCTGCTCCATCCTCTGACCCCCAAATGTACTGCTCATCTCTCTTCCACATTACCTAAAATCAGAGAACTGGACTGGGAATTGGGCTTAGCCTAGTTCTCTAGATAGGCAAGTCACTTAACAGCTCTGAGGTCCCAAACAAGGAAGTGACTTGCCTAAGATCTCCCAGTGAGTCAAAAACAGAACAAGACTAGAATCTGGATCTCTTGCCTACCAGGCAAGGTCATATCCATAGAGGGGCCAAATGGACAGTAGGACCTGTTATCAGGCAGATCTAGCTATTCCTGCTAACAGAATAGATCCAGCGAGGGTCTGAAGAGGAGAATACAGTGTGCAAATGTTTCAAGAGGGATGGGAGCCAGGGATCTCCCCTCCAGTCCCTGGGCAAGTCTGCCCTGTGGCTACTGGGAGCAGGAGACTATTCTAGAGTGGCAAGGCTGGAGCTGGCTTATAGAAAGATGTCCTCATTTTTAGGTGGGGGTCCAGCCTAGTCTGAAACCTTCATAAAGAAATCAGTCTCTTGTGACAGCTAACCAGGAGGGCCCAGCTTCCCAGTCTATAATAATAATAATAATAATAATAATAATAATAATAATAATAATAATAATAATAATAATGGCTCACACTTCTTAAGCTCTTCACTGGTCCCGGTGCTGAGCACTGTGCTTGGACTACTTCATTCAATCTCCACACCCATCCTTAAAGTTGAATATAATTACTGTTTCTATTTGCAAATGAGGAAACTATGGCCTAGAGAATTTAAGTAACTTCCTCAAGATCAGTCAGCTAGAAAGTGGTAGCGCAGGATTCGAAGCCTAGTTCATGTCCAAACACTAACACACTGCCGCACAGCAATACACAAGAAGAGGTAAAGCTCAGTGGCTGCGGAAGTTACCCGACAGCCAGGAGCTCCTGGAGACCTCCCCAGACGTGATCTGGTGAAATCCTCCCAACTACTCCGCTGACAAGGCACGCCCATCCTCCTTCCGCGGAAGAGGAAACCGAGGCACGGTAGGGAAGCATCTCGCTCTGGGACATCCCCAAGTAGCTAGTGGGAGTCCCGGTTTCCCCGGGAGTCCAGGTTTCCCCGCCCAATCCAGACCACAAAGCCCGACCACTTCTTCCGCACAAGCTGATGGGGAGGCAGACTCTGCAACACCCGGTACACCGTGGTAACCACCGCCTAGCGCACCAGCCGATGCGCAGCAGACGCGGAAAACCAACGCTCTGGGCAGGTGCACACAGGTGAGCCACGGAGCGCTCCTTCGTCGTAGTCAACGGGCTCTAACGCTCCGGGCCCATCCGCTGCTGACGTTCAAGCTGAGCCGGGCGCCACAATTTCCTGCTTCCCAGGGAGAGTGGGACGAGGAACCAGGCGTGCACTCCCCGCGCCCTCCCTGGAGCAGCCAAGTCTAGACCCTACCCCGGTACGGCGTCCAGGGAGTGTCGGGCTCCACACACGCCCCCATCTCAGGGTCCCCCTGGGGTCACTCACCCAGAACACCGTGGAGTAGATGACCAGCGAGAACTTGAGCCAGAGGTAAGAGAGGCGCGCGCAGTAGCGCACCTGCTCGGAGTCCCCGCGGGGCATCCTGGGCACTCTCCGCGGGGCTCCGGGGCTCCGGGGCTCCCGGGCTAGGTCCGTCGCCGTGAGCAGCCCCTCCTGCGGCCGCCAGCCCGGCCGCGCGCCCCTCCACTCGCGCCGGCTCCGGGACTGACATGGGCTGGCCGCAATCACAGCCGCGGCCCGGACCAGTCCGCCCAGCGGCCAATGGGCGCGAGGCCGCGGCCCAGCCTCTGGAAGGGGGCGGGCAGGGGGGCGGGGCCGCGGCCCGGGACCCGCCGGAGGCGCAGGGAGGGGAGGGGGCGAGGGTTATGCAAACGAGGTCTGGGGCCGCGCTGCAGACGCCCGCGCGAAGGGCGCCGAGGGGGGCGTGGGAGAGCGTGCACAAAGGTGCGCCGGGGAGAAAGCCCGCGTACCTAATCGGGGGGACGTAGAGAGGCGCGCTTTCCACTGTTGGCAAGAGGGAAGACTGTAGGAAGAGGGCAGGAATTAACCGCTAAGGTGTTAAAAGTGTGCAAATGAATGTGCAAGCCGTGAATGGAATAAGGAGGTGGAGCTGCTCAGCCTGAGGGGGATGGAGGACCGACTTCAGTTAGGAAGGTGTGGCAGACCAGGGTGGGGCTAAGGGGTCCCCTTGGAGTTGGGGCCGCGAGTTTACTTTCGTCACAGATCCCCAACTAGCCTTTTTCCATCAAGTCTCCGGAAATCCCCTTCTCTGAGGCCGGTGGAGATCCCAACACTGCCCCCCAGGGCCTCCTCCTCCGGGAAGCCCTCCCACCACCCATCCACAGGCCAGGTCAGTGGCCCTGGCCCTTGCTGCACACACTCAGTCCTGGTCTGACCCAGCCTCTCCTCTCCCAGCGTTTCCTCGTTCTGGGGTCAGAGTCTGTGTCCCATGGCACCCCTGCACACACCCAGCCCAGGTCTGACCCAGCCTCTCCCCTCCCGGCGTCTCCTCTGCCTGGGGTCAGAGTCTGTCTCCCAGTGCCCCGTCTTGACTCCTCCGCTGTTTCCCGCGGAGCTCAGCCTGGGGTTTGGGAGTCAGGCAATTGTTTGGGGCATTCAGTAATTAAATATGTGGCCCAGAGGTCGAGCTCAAGGCAGTGCTAGACGGGGTCCCTGGTGGTGACTGCAGGAATGGCACCCTAGTCCAAGTCCGTGGCCTTGGACTCCCAAGCCTCACATATAATACACACTCCCAGAGAGAGACAGACGCCAAGACAAACCAGGCCTGCCCCAGCCCCCAGGCCCCTGCCCTAGAAGGAAGAAAGTAAGGTTGGGATAGCATGTCCTGTCCTCTTCAAGGTCCTTCTAGCCAGACTAAGAATCAAATTGACATGAGACAGATTAACAGGAGAAAATCAAATTTAACAGAATACATATGAGGAATCCACATAGATGTGAAAATTCCAGACAGGCAAAATGAGGGATATGTGTCATTCTGAACTAAGGAGAAAGGGGTAGGCGTCTGAGAATTCAAGGAAGAAATACAATTCACAGGAAGATGAAAAAGAGTAAATGTTTGATAAACAAATGTTTGTTGGGTGCCCCGCCCCGGAACAATGGGACACAGAGGATTTGGCTCAAACAGGCCCTGGTAGCTTCCTCCCTTTCTACCAGACCTACTTTATTATTTTTTTAGAGGGGGGGAGGGGCAGAGGGAGAAGAAGAGAGAATCTTAGGCAGGCTCCACGCTCAGCATGGAGCCTGACGTGGGGCTCGATTTCACGACCCTGAGATCCTGACCTGAGCTGAAATCAAGAGTTGGAGGCTCAACCGACTGAGCCACCCAGGCGCCCCTACCATACCTACTTTATATCATAATGTAGTTATCTGTGTCTTCCTGGAGCAGATGCTCCATCTAAATTCTTTTTAGACAGTTGAGGGGGAAGTAAAGAGCTTTTCCTGAATCTGCTGGGCTTTGATGCTTTTTAATTCAAAATAAACTTCATGCCAATGTGGCCCATCTGGGGGCAGCCAGCCCTTGGCCCCTGCAGTTGTAAGGCAATGCCTTGCCCAGAGAAGTCAAGGGAATTCAGTTTCCTGGTACTAAAGGAGCCAGTCCTGCATGGGTGTTTATGTCGCGTAGGGACGCAGAACCAGGGACTGCTGCACGTGACCTGAGAAGAGTAGCCAAGGGCTACAAAGACATCTTACCACAGTGTTAAAAGTTGTCCTTTGATGGGGCGCCTGGGTGGCTCAGTTGGTTAAGCGACTGCCTTCGGCTCAGGTCATGATCCTGGAGTCCCTGGATCGAGTCCCTGGATCGAGTCCCTGGATCAAGTCCCTGGATCGAGTCCCTGGATCGAGTCCCACATCAGGCTCCCTGCTCGGCAGGGAGCCTGCTTCTCCCTCTGACCCTCCCCCCTCTCATGTGCTCTCTGTCTCTCTCATTCTCTCTATCTCAAATAAATAAATAAAATCTTTAAAAAAAAAAAAAAGTTGTCCTTTGAGGAGGAGGACACTAACTCTTTACCCTTCTTTGGGGGACTAGCTTCCCTCCCCCAGCCCTGCAGAGCTCGCCTTACACCCTCTCTTTGAGGTACTGGTCTCATCCCCTAGTCACCCCCCCTCCCAGGGGCTGTCTGTCTCCCTCTCCCTGGGGGTGAGCCTCCCCACTGGGGTTTTCTTTCCAGTTGCACTTGGCCTTTGTTCTGGCCTCTAGCTAGCTGTACTTTCTCTTCTATTTCAAGTCTTCCCTGGTGACATCCCCATCCAGCAACCCCTGTGGGCTCTTCCTGAGCCCCTATAAGTAGTGCCCCGAGGGAGGGGGCTGTGACAGCCATGCATGGGGAGCCTGGAGCTCCTTGGGACTAGCACACCCTTCCCTGGGCTCCTGAGCATCTTTGTTGCCCTTCCCCACCCCTAACCTGACCCCAAGTACTGTGGGCTGCCCCCAGCCACATTTGAAAACACTGAGATCTCAGAAGAAGTGACACCTTATTTTTAACTTCTCCCTCTTTTTGCCAGGAGCTCTGGGCTGGGGATCAGCAGCCTAGGGCCAACCCTGGTTTTGCTGTGAACGTTTTGAGAAACGATTAGAATGTGTGGCACAGATAGTGTGACATACAGGGGTGAGTGTGGCCCTGGCTGCAGTTTACAACCACCTAGTGAGTTTTAAAGCTATGCTGAGGGGCGCCTGGGTGGCTCAGTCGGCTGAGCATTTGCCTCTTGGTTTCCGCTCAGGTTGTGATCTCAGGATCATGGGATCGAGCCCCTCATCAGGCTCTGCATTCAGTGCAGAGTCTGCTTGTCTCTCTCCCTCCCCTGGTTTGCTTATGCTTTCTCTCTCTCTCTCTCTCTCAAATACATAAATAAGTAAAATTTTAAAAAATAAAAAATAAATGGATGCTGATATCCAGGCCCTGCCCTAGTTCAGCAAAGTCAGAATCACCACCAACGGGGACCTAGGAATCGGTATTATCTTAAAGGTCCCAGGTAATTTCTAAAGTGCAGCCAGGACGGCGACTCACCAGTCCAGAGGTAATCATGCGGGGGAGGTGGTCATTTCACAGCTAGACCACATTCCAGGGGTCACCCAGCTAGCCAGTGGTGTGCTCTTGAAGGTTTAATATCTGCCTCTCTGTTGGTGGGGGGTGGATGGGAGGGCTCCTGTTGCTGGTTTTCAGAGTGGGAATTCTTCCCCCTGTGGTCCCTGGCGTTAAGAAGAGACAAAATCACACAAACAGCTCTCCACACCTCTGCAGCTCTCCCTCTTTCAGTCCACCCGTGCAGCTTTACCGATTAGCCCAGGGAACCCCACCCATAATGACAGAATGCATCCGTGAAATTCACGGCTCATCAATTAGCATAACAGGTATTTTTTTTTTTAAGATTTTATTTATTTATTTAACAGAAAGAGAGAGAGAGAGCACACAAGCAGGGGGAGCCACAGAGGGAGAGCGAGAAGCAGGCTCCCCACAGAGCAGGGAGCCCAATGTGGGACTCGATCCTAGGACTCTGGGATCATGACCTGAGCTGAAGGCAGACACTTAACTGACTGAGCCACCCAGGCGTCCCAGCATAACAGGTATTAGAAATGAGCTCCCCGGGGCACCTGGGTGGCTCAGTTGGTTAAGCGACTGCCTTCGGCTCAGGTCATGATCCTGGAGTCCCGGGATGGAGTCCCGCATCGGGCTCCCTGCTCAGCGGGGGGTCTGCTTCTCCCTCTGACCCTCCCCCCTCTCATGTGCTCTCTCTCTCTCTCTCTCATTCTCTCTCTCAAATAAAATCTAAAAAAAAAAAGAAAAAGAAAAAGAAATGAGCTCCCCTTTGCTGAAATCAGTAGTATTCAAGATATGTAGATTGTCTAAAATGAGACACCACCCCTTTCTTGTTCAGAGTAAAAGAATTTCACTTAGAGATGAAGTGTGGGGCTAAATCTTTGAGGATCCCATGTTCTAAGGTATCTGGCTGCCTGACGTGACCAGCAGTCTCAGGAATGTTGCGTCTTCCTTGAGTGGACCCTTCATGCAAGGTGGTAGAGCGCCTAAAAGCACAGAGAGCTAGGCCTTCGCTGACTTTACAGACAGATTGTAGGAACCCGTTTTGTGGCTACTGGCCAATAAATGTTTGTTTTATAGATATTTTTATGGATGTCACAATTTGTTCTGAGATCTGTTTTCATGATAACCTGGCAAGCAGATTGTAGGAGGAAATACCTAACCAACACTGTCAGCGGCTACTGCTTATGAGAAAAGAACCTATGGACGTGCAGCACCGACTTGGCTTGCATAATAAGTTCGCCTTCACGTCCCTGGGTAATTGACTGTGCCTCTGGTTCCCCATCTGGGAAACCAGGAGGTTGGACCCTTTCTCTTGTAGCTCTAACAACCTTAGCTATAGTCCTCGTGGTCAACTCGGTGAGCAAATGTATACCAAGCTTCTCCTGTGAATCAGGCCCTGCCCCAGGCTCTGGGATACATCCGTAAGCAAGATAGCCAAGTTTCTGTTGTCTTCTACTGGGGAGGGAGTTGTGGGGACATATAACGTATATGAAAATAAACACACAAAAGGGAGATGTCAGGCAGTGATATGTATTAAAGATCTGGAAGAAGAGCTTCCTAATGGAAAAGACCGCAAGTGCAAAGACTATGAGAGAGGGACAGCCTTGTCCTGAGTCCCAGGGGGGCTCAAGCAAGGGACTTCGGGAGGGTAGAGGGGGTGACATTGGACCTAGGAAGGA